TCGATTGAATCACTAATATGAGTCATTTGATATTTGATCACTGTATCATAAACTGTATGGCTGGTAGGGTGTTATATCAGACTGTGTCCAGCAGGTGGAGCGCTGTGTGTGTTTCTATCTGAGAAGATACAGATGATGGAGGTGGTGGTGATGGCCAGGATGGTGCCGATGGGAATGGACTTCTGGGCATCCCGCAAATCACCGGATCGGTTTGATCCAGCCATGATACCTGTTCAAAACAAGACAGACCATAGAATGGCTACAATGTTTGCTCACTACATCATTCCCATACTTCCATTTGGGTTATTTCCTAGTTTTGATGAGTTTACTTGTATTCTAAAATGTGGAATTCTTTATACAGTCTTAAAAAAGAAAGGTTCATTTTTGGCATTTATAGTTCCATTTTAACATTCATGAAACCTTTCCATTGCACAAAAGGTTTATTACAGTGGAAAAAGGGTTCTTTTGATTATTAAACAAAACCATTTAACAAAATGGTTGTAAAGAGGATTCTTGAGGAAAATGGTTCTTCTTTGACATTGCTTTTGGAACCTTTATTTTCAAGAACGTAGATTTTCATAATCAGAAATGATGGCTGAGATCAGGGCTGTCGAGAGAAGACTTTACCTGTCACGGAGGGGAAGTAGATGCCCACCAGCATGGTAAAGAAGCTGGTGACGTCGGCAAGCACGTAGCGGTTGGTGTTGGTCGGTATGGAATCGGGTTCATCCACGGAGGGTAATCCCAGTTTCTCAATAAACGCTCCCTTATCCATATAATTCCCAAAGAGATTATCTGGAAGAGAGAGAGAGAGAAACAGGGAAACAAAGAGAGAGAATATGAGAAATAGAGGCTTAGAGGCTTGTTCAGATCATTAACACTAAATATGAGCAATATTAATAGCAATGGTTAGTTGACACAGAGGAAAAGTTTGTATTTGAAAAAACAATATTTTATACTATACAATTATATTATACAAAAGCTCGATAAAAGTGAATATCTTCTGTTTGGGGTCGGTAAGATTTTTAATGTTTGTGAAAGATGTTTCTTATGCTCATCAACCAATATGGAAAAAAATGTTTTAAATACATGCTAAATATTTGTTGTAAACCATGATGCTCAGTCAAATATATGTTTGAATTGAAAATATATCTACTTTCAATGTTCACATACCAAAATATATTTCAAATTCTATTTCAGGGGCAAGAAAATACATTTCCGATCTCACAGCAGCCTGCATTTTATATTCATTCATTGTTTATTCAAATGTGTTATATGTTCACACGTGTTATAGGCAACAAAAAGATTTTCTTTAAATGTGACATATGTGAATGTGTTTTCTTGGACTGGAATATTATGGAGGGTAAAATACATATTTTAAATGCTTTAAAAAAATACATTTATATTTCTAAAATATATTTTCAGCAATGACCAAAAAATACTTTGGTAGAAAATGAATTTACATACATATATTTTGAAAAATATTTTAAGCAAATATATTTTAGGCCATTTTTTTGTATATTACGAAATATATTTAAAAACACATTTAAAAAAATAAAAAAAAAGTTTTTGCCGTATGGCTGCATTTATTAAAAACTGTAATATTGTGAAACATTCTTATAATTTGATATAACTCTTTTCTATTTGAAAGTATTTTAAAATGTAATTTATTTTTGTGATCAAAGCTGAACAGCATTTATTTGAAAATAAATATTTTGTAACATTATAAATGTCACTTTTATCCTATTTGCAATGCATTCTTGCTGAATAAAAGTGTTAATTTATTTCTTAATAATATATATATATATAT